TTGTGTGACATATTCAGCTTATCAAGTAGGTAGAATAAATCCAGAAATATTTCTGGCCTACATTTAATGAGTAAATTTGGGTTAAGTCAATCTTAGTACAAATTACAACAACGTTCACATTGCAACATTTTCACTAAGCTTGCACAAAAGTGGCTCTAATTTAGCATTCAGGCTATGATTTGTAATCGAATACGTTTACAGCAAAACGCACCCTACATTGTAAAAATTTGCATATTTTCCATTCTTTGTGTAAATTTGGGTTAAATCAATTTTAGTACAAATTACAACAAAGTACGCATTGCAATATTTACACCAAGCTTCCACAAAAGTGGCTCTAACGCCCGATACACATGGGGCTTTAGCGTCAATGATTGACAGAGGTCGTGTCTGAAGTTTGGGCTGACGCGATTGTCATAGCAGTGTCAGCCAATGAAATTTGTCCACATTCGGCCACTGTCTGAGCTGGGGTATTTGCATAAAGCAATCTGATTTGCTGATGCTTCCACTGATGCTTGAAAAGTTAAGAAAAAAGTTAAGCAACGCAGCTGAATCAGCGCCAACGAATCCACAATTCAGTTCGGCATCGCTTGATGTCACCCATTCATAGTGAATGGGAATCGTTGAAGCTGACACCCCATGTAAATCAGAGGTAATGTAACATTTAGGCATTTTAAAGGGAGAATTCAGATTTGTAATCGAATATGTTTACAACATACACAGCAAAACGCACCCTACATTGTAAAAATTTGCATATTTTCCATATTTTGTGTAAATTTGGGTTAAGTCAATTTTAGTACAAATTACAACAATGTTCGCATTGCTATATTTACACTCAGCTTGCACAGACGTGTCACTGAAGTAGCATTTAGGCATTTAAAAGGAATAATTCTCCCAAAAATTAACATTTGCTTACAACCCAAGCTCATTCTGGAAACGTAGCCCCGCTGACGGTATTGTACGTAAGGCCAGAGGTACGTGAGGGCGCGTTTAGTTTTTCTTTGAGCGAACGCTTTCAGGCGGTGTGGCGCCGCTCCGTCCCTCCTCTTTGCGCTCGCCGGCCAACGGCTCGCCTCCGAGTGGAGGGCTTTCCCGATGCAACCAGTTTGTCCGCTTAGCTCACAGCATTGCGTCGGTGGAGCGGAGGCCCCGGAAGAGGAGGAGCCGGCTGCGGGGACGACGACCGGGATCGAGTCCGGGGAACAGCGGTTCCGGAAATTAGGTAAGACGAAAAACGGAATCCGAAAAATAAGGGCGAGAACGCGGTGGGATCCGAAAACGCGGTCGAAATCGAAGACGAGGGCTTTTGCTTTTTTTTTTTTCTGGACAGATTTTGCGAACCGTCGCTCGGTTTTAGGGAAGGAGGAGGAGGAGGAGGAGGAAGAGGAGGGCGGCCGAGTCGGCCAATCCGGCAACTTTTCGCACGAACACGGAGCGGGCGCGAACACGGCGCGGGCACGAACGGCCTGCGCTCCCGAGAGGCACCCGAGACGCAAAAAAGCGCGCACAGCGGCCTCTCGATGATCCACGAAAACAAAAACCGCTCGAATACGTACCTCCCGGGACGTAAATCGCGGTCCGCAGAAACGTCCGCGGGGCTACGTTTCCACAATGAGCCCGGGTCGTTTACTTACTATTTACTCTCCCTCAAATACACAAAAGGACATACTTGAAAGAAGTATGAAAGCCATTGACATCCATAGTAGGAAAAAAAATATATATCAAAGTAAATGGTTTCCGGCTTTTTTTTTTAAATATCTTCTTTGATGTTCGACAAGTTTTGAACAAGCATAAAGTGAGATAAAACTTCAGTTTTAGGTGAACTATTTCTTTAACACACTGTTTAATGCTGCTAGAAAGTGCCATTAATTTACATCAAAAATTGTATTCAACGCCAAAATGAACTGAACGCTTTAGGTTTCCTCTGTGGGACGAATCAAAACAAGTTGTAACACTGATGAGTCAAAAACTAAAACGTGCTAAATATATTGCAATGCCAAATTAGTCTGCTGGCCCGTCCCATGACAAACACATCTGTATTAGACTCATGCATTTAATCCCACTAGTACTTCAAGAGCCTAAAAGCATCTGTGTGCCTCATACATTGATTTCAAACGTGAGCATAAAACACGTTTAGGCATTTTTCCTCAGCGAGGATGTCAAACTACAAAGACATGGCAATTACACATCCTGCTTGATAATAGCCCGGGCTCTGCGCCAATGCTGGATATCACTATAATATTGATGTGAGGCTTTACAAAAGATGTTAATTACAACGACAAGGGTGGCGCCTTGTAACTTAAAGATTTCTAAAAGGGAATTTCGTGATGTATACGTTATAAAACAGCATTTTTGTTAATAGTGCAGGCCATAAATTATGCATGCGGCACAAACATGTGTTTCCAGCTGGCACAAACCGCAGCTGGCGCAGCGTGTGCCAAAGTCTAGTGCTATAAGTGTGTGTGTGTCAAACTGCCCAGTGGGCGACACATTGCGATGAGCTCTATTTAAACATGCTCGCTGCTTTCTCTTAGTTAACCAAGTTCACTGGAAATGAGCAGAGCAATTCGTGATCCCTGAAATGATTTAAAGAGCAGAAGTGGATGAGACGGTCACAAGAGGTAATGATGGTAATATATTATCATGTTACGCTTCGTTTGATAAAACCAATAAACGCTGTTCCTCTTTAAACTCTCATATATCAGATTCCACAGAGATTCAACCGTCTTTAAACACTGTGGGTAAGTTCACAACAGACAACGAAACACAATGTTCCTGGCTGCAACTTCAAAGTCATTTTTGGTGCATAATGCTAACAAAATGCTCTTAAATAATTGGCTTTACATATAAGTAAATACATTTGATCAATCAATCAAATTAAAATGTATCTCTGAATAATCTGATAATACTAAATTATATTATTTACTCTTCCTACAAAAATGACTACGCTGTAAAACCATAATAAATAAATATAATAAACTGCAAACATGTTTTTTGCTGTATTTTGTTCCATCATTTAATGTCTTTGTTGGTTTATACTAGGTCAGCACAGTTTTACTTCTTTTTATGATGTGTTAATGACTTGCTTATGATCTGTTTAGCATTATACAGTCTAATGTCATCATATGAGTTTGTCTTATTCATGACAATAAAAAGTGTTACAGGTTTTAACATAGCTGTAAATGATGAACTCGGAATGAAGAGTACGTTTAAAATGTTTTCATTAAATAACAACACATATGCTAGCTACATCATAATGACAATGTTTTGGCACTAGAAGTGAATCAAGCTAACTCAATTCTGCTAATTTCAGTCATATTTCTAACATTTCTAAACTGATAACACTACAATTATATTATTTATACTTTCTACTAAAATGAATGTGCTGTAAAACTATAATAAATGAATATAATACTCTGCAAACATGTTCAATAGTATATTTTTGTTGCATTTCGTTCCTTCGTTCGGTGTCTTTGTTGGTTAATACTAAGTCCGCACTGTTTTACTTCACTCCATTTGACTTTATGATGTGTTAATAACATGCTTCTGTATAGCATTATGCAGTTTAATGTCATAATATGAGTTTGTCTTATTCATGATAATATGTTACAGGTTTTAACATAGCTGTAAATGATGAACTCTGAATGAAGAGTACGTTTAAAATGTATTAATTAAATAACAAACATCAACACTTATTTTAAAAGACGCACATATGCTAGCTACATCATAACGACAATGTTTTGGCACTAGAAGTGATTGACGCAAACCTAGCTAACCTAATTCTGCTAATTTCTTTTATATTTCTAACATGTCTAAACTGATAACACTACAATTATATTATCTATACTTTCTACTAAAATGATAGTGCTGTAAAACCCATAATAAATGAATATAATAAACTGCAAACATGTTCATTAGTATATTTTTGTTACATTTTGTTCCTTCATTCGGTGTCTTTGTTGGTTAATACTAAGTCCGCACTGTTTTACTTCACTCCATTTGACTTTATGGTGTGTTAATAACATGCTTCTGTATAGCATTATGCAGTCTAATGTCATAATATGAGTTCGTCTTATTCATGATAATATGTTACAGGTTTTAACATAGCTGTAAATGATGAACTCTGAATGAAGAGTATGTTTAAAATGTATTAATTAAACATTAAACTTAATCTTCATCAACACTTGTTTTAGAAGACACACGTATGCTAGCTATATATTTAATACACTGTTTTGGCACTATAAGTGAATGACAAGAAACTAGCAAACTCAATTCTACTAATTTCTGTCACATTTTTAACCTTATAATACTAAAATTACATTATTTATACTTTCTACTGAAATGACTGACCTGTAAAACCATAATAAATGAATATAATAAACTTCAAACTTCACTAGTATATTTTTGCTGCATTTTGTTCCTTCATTCGGTGTTTTTGTTGGTTTATACTAGGTCAGAACTGTTTTACTTCACTCAATTTGACTTCATGGTTTGTTAATAACATGCTTATGATCTGTATAGCATTATACAGTCTGTCATAACACGAGGTCGTCTTATTAATGATCTTAAAGTGTTACAGGTTTTAACATAGCTGTAAATAATGCACTCGGAATGAAGAGTACGTTTAAAATGTATTACTTAAATAACAAACATCAATACTTATATAAAAGACATGCTAGCTACATCCAAATGACAATGTTTTGGCACTAGAACTGAATGACTAAACTAGCGAACTCAATTCCGCCGTATTTCTAACATTAAGTCTAAAATATAAGCAAAACTTCATTGGCTTTCTCACTCAAACTCAATAAAAACACAAATTCGTGTGCGTAGCCTACAGTATATTATCTGAATATTCAGTGAACAGACACCGCAAGCGTCGTACTGTAACTGAGAAACAGACGTTACAACCGGCAAAAATGCCGCATCCGCACTGCAACTGTCCCTAGCCTTTCTGTTAATAAACTCTCGTTCACACACACTGAATAAAGTTCGGATCTTAC